TGCATCAGAGCTCTCTTCCAAGCCTGAATTTCAAGGAAAAGCAACAATTCATTTGTGTGGCCTTCTGTCAGCAGTCACAAGACCGAAACCCCAATGAACGTCTTTGATAAGTATTCGGAAAATATCACAAGACCATCACTGGAAGCTGGAACGTGGGTTCACAAACTGAATAATTGGTGGAATAGAGACAAAGTGTTAGCCTTACAGATGTCTGAACTTGTGCTGCTGTGGAAAAATATGTTTAATGACCAACTGTTTGTAACATGGGCTTTAATGTTTGCATTTCTATCCACGTCACATCACCTTTTTAAACGCTTAGAAAAACAAGCTCAGCATGATGGATACATTTTCAACACATTCTGTTGAGTGGAGGCGAAACACTGGTCTCCGTAGATGTGAAAAGGTACATCTGGTTTGAAGGATAAAGCATTTCCAAACGTTCTAAAAGTCGATGTAAACTCTTTTGAAAATGCTCCTTACATTCTCACGTGACCTTTAAAAACCAAATAATGCAAAACCAAAACGTGTGTGGAGTTTGTCACACCAAAAGGAAAAATGCGCCGCCACCCAGCCGAATTTGAACGATTTTTTTTTCAAAATCTAAGCAACATTCCACGCTCTCAAACATTTGGGGGTTGGTCTGTTGGAGGTTCGGAAATCAGGCAAAATTTTGCCTGAGAGTTTAGTAATCCGTTATGGATTTTTAGCACCCTTACGTCTGCCCACTGGGACTTGTTCCGGTATGCCACATGGCCACAACGCCACTGCTACCAAACTGTAGGCTTTCCCTTTTGCTTGTTCCATCTGTTATTGTGTCTAAACACGTCTTGTTTGGGTTAGGCCCGGTCCACATCGACCTAGACAGCTAGATGTTGAACCAATGACTTTGAGAAACTTAGATTTTCTCAACTCCAACAACTGAATCTCAGCAACCCTCCTCTCTCTTCAACTCTCACTGACGTTTTGGCCATTTTTCCTTCAGGCGACACGTCAACTCGTGCACCATTTTCAATCCATACTTCCCCTTTAACAAGATGTTGTCCTGTCCATAATGTTGTCTGACATTTCTGAACATGTCACTGCCAGAAACGAGCACTTTTAGCAGATGTATAGTATATTGACGATGTGCAATTGCCTGGAATAATTACTTTGGAGCCCCTTCAGCGGCTGCAGCGTTAACGTTCAATACTGGACCATTAGTCACCTTGACATCAACACGCGGCAAATAGGAAAGGAAAACGTTCCCCTTAACCTCTCACTGACAGAGTGCTTTCATAAGGAAGCCTCTCTGCAATCATGTTTTATTCCCCAATAGCTGATCACACAACTCGTGTTGTTGACTCACAGTATCAACATGTTGGCAGGTCACATGGGAATAATTCAGGGACTTCGCTGAGGAGCTCAATGCAGCAGCTCAGGTATTACTGTTGGCCCTTGAACAGGCATCGTAGAGCAGGACAGAATAACTATTTTACAGATCAGTTGCCCAACAACAAAAGCATGTGTCTAAATTTGAGCGACATGTCAATTCCAATCACCCATGTGTGTGTTTTAACACTAATAAGAGGGGATCACACTGGAGAGTGGAGGTGACAGAACGCACATCCAAAAACTGTCAAACTTCCTGTTTCTGAGACATTTTTAAAAAACACTTGCCTGACATTAGGCTAGAGATGTATGGAGCATTTTCAAATGGATCAGTTGTTCACATGGTAAAATGCGTAAGCTTTTGAATACCATGTTAATGTATCTATATTTATAAACCTAATTACATACAGAAATCTGGTTTTATATGCACATGTATTTAAACCGCGTCACCGCCCCAGTTTTGGCAGCATCAGAAATTCATGTTTGCAGTAATTCAATTTGAAGAAGCACATCGTTCAAAGCAGTCTGTGGTGCTGCAGGATATTGAGTCCACGCTCTCAAGGCGACCAGGTGGGTTCAATTTGAACTTGAGTGGTAACTGATGAGGAAGATTCGCATCGAGTCCCACCGTCACGTCTTCCACCTCCAGGAAGCTTTGGGGCTGAAACACAACTTGTGAGACATGAATCGATGTCTGTAAACTACTCCAGGCAGACACCTTGCTTCCCTACTCACATGACTCACTCGCAGCATATTGAACATTAATTGAATCTAGTCAGTGTACTGAAGCCTGCAGCCCTCCTGCTCACCTGCAAGGTGTGCTTATGCCATCGCCACATTCACCTGCAAGCTCAAAGCCTATGTTTCTCTATTCAACATCCCCACCTAACCATGAAAATTTCAAGTCCCTTATTAATGTTAAATTATAACACTGGGTTATTGGTTGATGCCCCCTCTGCATGTACAGCTATTTTGTTTTGGCTTCAAGAAGTAGGTAGACGGGCCTAGTTTTGTTATATGGATTTGTTTTGTTAAGCTCAACCACATGTCCCATCCGCCCCCAAACTTTTGTTAAAAATAAGAGCCAGAGTTGTAATAGTATAAATTCCCCACATTCTTTTGCCGTCACATGTTCATTCCAAAGGGGACGTAAGCACCGTACGAGAGGCGTCCAGCTCGGGGGCCGTGAGCTAGGACAGTCGAGTGCTCCATCATGCACTAAAAGCGGAGCGGTTCACGGGAACTCCTCAAGCAACACTTTCAGGGACCTGGAACTCCTCCACATCAGTCTTTATAAATCTTCAGCTTCACTTTAACCCCCCAAAAAAGAGCTCTGACTAAAAAAGGCCGAGCACTAGGATTGTTAGCCAATGTTACTCTACTCAACTCAGCTAATTGTGCATTTTTCTGAGGAACTTTTTTTAGCTGCGGATCACTATTTATAATTTGGTTCAGTAATGAGTAGTTACAGGGGTAATTCATGTGGAAGTGAATTCAAATAAACTATGTTCTTTGTAATGAAGGAACATGTCAGTCAGTGCACTGGTGTTGCTAACTAATTTTTGTGGATGTGAAGAAATAAGCCTAGCTGGTAGCCTTTTTTCATGAGATTTATTGACAACACGTAAAAGGTAGAACATAACTTGAGTTAGCTTCTCATGAAACCTGTGAGTTATCGCTGACGATGCAGTTTGAAGCGATAGAAACAGACGTGTGCTGTGGCACAGTGGGCTATTTGGTTAAAGTTTGGCGTGGCCGGTGGGTGACCTGAAATGTGCATGCTGTTGATTTATTGTTTGTCTCCGAAATACGGCAGAGGCCGCCGTACTTTCTATTGCACATCAACGTTTTCAAGCGTGAAATACCTGATATTGTGACAGCGCCGGTGACAGAGCAGCGTTTTTAGTGTTAACAAGTGAAGCTTTTATAGTCAGTGTTGGTTTCACAAGCCATAATTCTCCACCTGAGCACCTGAGAAGCGCTGTAAAACCAGCCCACTTACTCGATGTGGCCGATCCTGTTTAATGTTTCAGCAGCAGAGCGTAGAATTTGTCAGATGTGCATCTTTTATGATGTGGTAATGATAGCACCTCCTCTAATGCAAAAGGAGGAGGGGAGAAAAAAAAGTTTGGCTGATTTTTTTGCCCGGCCCAAAAGACATGAGTGTAAGGAATGATTTGATTTATGTTGTCTCCTGTGGGACCTGGAGGTATCTGCTTCACTGAGATGGGAAAGGGAAGTCAGTGCACGAAGAGGCAACGGGAGAAGCTTATGATTTATGTGTAAGCCCATAAAAAGACTGCTGCCCAACCGTTTCTTGAATCACGACAGGAATGGGTTTTTTGCAGTCCATATTGCACCAGTTAATGGGTGGAGCAGAGGAAGATGATTCAGATAGGTTCACTTTACTTTGGAACAAGGCAAATGCCTTTGCACAGCAGGAGACGTTTATTATGGAAGAAAATTAGTTATCATTCAAAAGGAAAAACATACTTTTTGGAAAATGAGCCCGTATATTCTCCAAGCAAAAGCAATATATCTCACAAATGAAGCCTTATCCAATTCTTTTAGTCTGTACTCAAAGATAAAATTAAAATAAAATGGAGTCTTGGTATTTTTAACTTTAATGATCCTTTCGTTGTCTTTTATCCGTTGGAGTTGTTTATTTTGTTCGGAGTCCAATGCTTTGCAGCTTTCTTTTTATTCAAGATACATGAGAGAATGTGTCATTGACTTTATTTACATATAGATTTGAACCTATTTAGGAACATATTGTTATTTTCCTGAAGGGAAAAGGTCATTTTTCATGACAAATCTGCTGTGTCAGTCTCATCTGGTTGATAAAGTAATGTCCTAAGGCAATGTTATCAAATATGAGAAAGGAAAGCTACTACCGTGATAATTTTGTTCAACTGTTTCCACAACTTTCAAATCAAATTACACAGAGGATCCAGAATTACCAAAACACTCACCCTCATGACAGGAGAGTATTATTCATAAGACGGTACATACTTGAGCTGCAACTATTTTAATAAAGCTTATCGAGTTCTCTGGAGTCGGAATCCGCAGTTGTCAACATGACCAAAGTTTCTCGGCCATGAAAGGGAAAGATTGTTTGTGAGTGACACGAAGAAAGATTTTCTTATGGTCGCACAGACTCACAATAAGTCCCGCAGCATCGGACCAACCTGAGGTGGACAGACTGCCTCAGCAAATTGCTCCTTTTCAAGCAATCCTTTTCCAGTTCTTCCATTGGTATCGCCAAGCATCCTGCTGCAGCCATAAATGACTAAGGAGCCTGTGAAAAATACAGTAAATGTCAAAGATAATGTTTTTATTTGTGTGTGGCTGAGGGAGGAAAATGGAAGCTGAATTTTGAATATTTCTACTCGACTAATCAACAATAACAATGACTCATCTATAAATTCTTTACAGTTGATATTACTGGTAACTTTATGGTGATGAATTAAATAAAAATGTAAAAGGTAAACTGTGCACAGCCATTTGTCACTCCTCCGAACAGTATCCGCAAAGTACAGATGTAGTTTTATTTAATATTGGGGAAATTATGCTGTATAACGATTTTCTAAATCTTTACATGTTCACAATTACCATCGACTACAACAACCACATGAGCTTTGGAGGCTTTTATTGGCCAGTGGATACAGTAACCAGTTATCACAAAACTACTTTACAACAGCAGACACCGAGTAAGATCTCAAAGTCAACCAGGCCGGAATGAACCACGGGAACGCAAATATAAAATATGTCCCCAAGTTAGCTTGTGATCATTTGTTTACTAGACTTTTTTTTAGCAATACACAGTGTTAACATTGTTTGAAGTCTTCTGATACGATTACCCAGAAGACGTGATCAGGGATTATCGATGGTGGCCCAGAGGGCTTTATGCCGTCCAAAACTAAGAAAATGTCTTCACGAATTTAAAAAATGAGCAGCATTCAAGAAAAAGTTGCCGTAAATAGAGAAAACTACCACCAAATACAGAGCATATTCAACAACAGCAACACGTAAAAATTATGCACACTGCTGAAATTGTTATTAGCAACACAGCCTGCATATTATGAAATGAACAGTTTACAGCTTTGCCCAGCTGGTACTTCAGCCGGGATCCAAGTAAAAACAATGCCTACAATCTTTGCACACGGCACAGCGAAGGACCAAACATATACATCACACGACACACAGTTTATAACATCAAGTGCTCCACTGCCGTCAGATACAATAACTCTAAGGATAAAAGATAATCTAAATGGAAATTTCTTGTTCATTATGCAAATATACAATCAGGCAAAATGACATGATATTCATACCTGTCCTTCATGCTGTCTTTGTTCCTACAATATTACTGCATCGGTCCTCTGAACCCATTATGAAAGTCGCTCCTTGTCTCCAAAAGTACACTTCAAAGCAGCTTCTGAGCAGTTTGAGTAAACAGATTGGCCTTGATATTGAAAATAGTGATGATGATACAACAATCACAATCTGAAGGACATTGATTAATCATGACAATGGGACAATACCACAATATTATTTAGCAAACTAATACAACTCACACCATCTAACTCAATATGTAATATCAACATATAGAATCACAATACAATACAGTGCAAAACATTGTTATTGTCCATATTGTCTATATGTATTTCCTCTGCGTGTGTTCATGCCTTTTATTTGATTTGAAACCCAGCAGGGAAAAGGACAGCTGGGTTCTAACTGTAGCTCAGGGAGCTGGGGAATAAACAAAGAGAGGAAATAAAATATGATGTCCTATGCATATTATAACTAAGTAGCACAACTTACCCCCTGTAGGGCTGTGATGACTGACGGGTCATTGTTGGTCTTTCTCTTGGTGAGAGTGTAAAGCAGCTGCCTGTGATTAGAGTCTAACAAACAGAAATGGTCTGTCTAAAAACAAACACAACTCTAAATGTGAAATGTGTGTCTAACAACAAAACTACTGTCTTAACTTAATTTTCTAATTTAATTTAATTTAATACATATTCCACTGTACATAACATTCCTTTCATTTAACTTAATATGTTTGCGCCGCTATTTTATTTTATTTATTCTGCATTTTTCACTCTCACGCGACGACAACAAACCATAACCTGCAGTGTCTTTTCTTCAGTTCATCAAACGGTTGAATTATAATTAATTGGGATGAGGGGTTTAACGGGTCCACAGGTTTTAATTAATGGTACACATTTTGGACTGCCTAATTCTCTATATTAAACAACCTATTAATGTTTAAGTAGAAAGTGAGAAGCCTCGAGTTTTTTGAGAGACGACAATATTCACACATCTCTACAAAACAGAGGATAAACACCAGCTAAACATTGTTTTTTACCGGTACATTTTATCACCCACTAACGAAACCATTGATTACAATTTATGGGCCTTAATAGATCCTTATCAGAAAGCGATCCGATTGAAGACGTCATAACATGATCAAACGAGATCAAACTTTCCTTTAAGCAACTCTTCCCGCTGAGAAGCGGAATTTGATTTCCTCCCGAGCCCTCTGGAAGCTGAATAATTATAAGAGTGCTCGTTTGTCAGTGACGGATCTCACAGGCTGCACTCCCGTTTTGTTGGTTGTCGGGATCCCACTGTGTGTAGCCTGTAATTGATGACGGTTATTCAACGCTCGTAATCCAAAAGGAGAAAACTTCACCCTGTCCCTCCTCAGCGACTCTTCTCATCAGGTCATCTTTAAAGGTCAGTACTGATATTCCCTCCAGTTGTTGCCCATCCGTTCACTCAGCAGTACATCTGGGGGGGGTTTACCTTAGATTCACTGTTGAGCACATGTGGTTGTGTGCTTTGGTGCAAAGGGCCAGTAAAGCAAAAACAGAGGTTGATACATAAAATACATAGAAACAGACAGAGGTCCTCGTGGTTTACAATCAACCCCCAAAAAATAAAACAATAGATTAGACAATGTATAAAGACTAACTGGATCCTCGTGTTTTAGGCCATGTTTACTACTTGTTGACTGGGAGATTTATATCAAAAGAAATATTATAAACATTGATGTAATAATTAACAGAACTACCGTTGATCAATATTACATTTTGAGCAAAAAGCTCCATGCTGTAAAACTGATAAATGGATGCAAATAATGTATCTCTGGATCTGGGGATTAGAATGTTATCGGGTCCGTCATCATCTTGTGGCTGCACCAACTATAATAACATCAAGACTTTGCTTGAAGCAGAAGTGCAGCAGAGATCTGGGACATACTTTTATAATTGCTCGCAGCCATTGAATTAATTAAGTTTGTTTTCGTCAAAAACAACATAACCATTAGTGAAAAAAACATTGGCCAAATTGGTTCCCTGCTTCTATTGCTTCCTGCTGACCGGCTCCCCGGTTATCAATGTGAGATGCATTCATGTGCATCAGAAACTTCGGGGTTTGTTGTTTCCAGGGTTACTCTGAATGTTGTTGGAGAGCAATCCCGGATCTGTTGAACGCAACTTGCTTGTATCTTTGCAAAGGTTCAATTTGTGCGACTGGATTGTTAAAATGCATAAAACATAGTGTGGACAACAAACAGTTGCTTTACTGATTCTGATAACAGAATATTTTGATGCATATCTTCTGTAAATTGACCATCTTTCATCCAGACTTATTGTAATAACAGCACAGGGATGAACCCCAGATACCAGGTCCGTACGGGAAAAGATATGTTGGTGACGTCTTGTGTGCCTTGTTGTATGAAAAGAGCAAATAAAAAAAAGAATGAATACAAACAAATAAATAAATAATAACAAAACTCCTAGCATTTATTGTAACAACAACAAAGGAGTGGAAAGCACTGGGTTGATGAACTCATATCATAATACGTAAATAATAATATCGCAAAAAATATCATTCTGTATGTAATTGTTATTATGATCGTGAGTCAATTGTGCGACATGGAGGTTCATCCATCAAGGATAAGTAGAGAAAGATAAATGTCCGCTTTAGGGATGGTTATATGTGACAGTGAGTGAATTCTTGACGTTTGCTTACTCACGGCTGACGCTTCTGCTCAAACCTCACAGCCACATTTTCCTGCGGTGTCAATTATCGAATCCTTTCTGTGTTGAAAACTGAATCCAACTACTTCCTTTTCAGGGCGAGCGGCGAACCGGTTTACATGAAAAACAAGACACGACTTTGATCAGATGACAGTACAGCGGTAGTTGGGGTCACCGGTCACACTGGAACCGTCAGCTTTGACCACGGTGACCTTGGACGAGTGCTGGGAGCTGTGCAGTGCGTTCCTGGAGCAGAGGCGCTCGCGGTAATTCTGGGCAAAAATGAGCAACATGAGCGGGTTGATGCAGCTGTGGGAGTAGCTGAGGCAGATGCTGATGTTGTAGGCGTAGACGAACGCAATAGTCGGGGAGTTGTTGCTCAGGTTGACCACCTGGATGACGTGGTACGGCGACCAGCAGATCAGGAACAGGGCGATGACCATTAGCACCATCTTGGTGGCTCTTTTAGCCCAAACGGACTGCTTGCGTTTGACGCGGCGGATGGAGCTGAAGACGTGGTAGAGGGTGAGGGAGTAGAAGGTGCTGATGATGATGAGGGGGATGATGAAGCCCAGGATAGACTGGTAGAGGGTGTACCAGTACATGTCCTCCGGCCCGTCCAGGTTCATCATGCACACCTTCATATGTTGTCTGCGCACAACCTTGGCGTACAGCATGACGGGGACCGTGAGGACGAAGCTGCCCAGCCAGACCAGCATGTTGATGATGATGGTCCACTGGATGGTCCTCCTCTCTGCGGTGGGGTGAACAATAGCTATGTACCTAAGAAGAAAAGAGGGCTCTTCGTCAGAGCTTTGCTAAAAATGAAAGAACTTCAAGTCATTTTCATCCATGACAAGTTCAGAGACTCAAGTCAAGCACGGAAAATGAGTAAATCCAGTAAAATATCCCAGATACACTCAATATAATATGTGCGCTTTAGATGCTGTGACAAATTAGCACAGTTTCTAAAGGTGACAGCGGTGGACAATGAACACATTTTTTGCATTTAATTGTGCAGAGGCACTCAGCCGGACAAAGTTGACCATCCTTAGGACATTGGCCGGAAGTCAATGACCCCTTTATCATCATTTACATGAAGTGCCATTCAAGTGGAGAGAATGACGCAGTTGCAGTCTACGCCTTGCATCATACTCTTGCGTGCTCTTGCCGTGATCGGTCTTGCTAGATCTTAAACAAACAAAATAACTTCATCATTGTTTGGAAGTGTGGTCAGCGATGGAAACTCCATGAGTTCCCTGTTGAATATACTTTTAGTGTGATGGTTGAATCATTGTGTCGGGTCTACAGGTGTTTTGCCTCAGTTCAGACACATTGATGTAAGATTATGACGTTATGTAGCTAAGGCGATTCTCAGGTTGGCACCCATTAAATTCTAAAGACATTTGAGTCAAGCATAGGAGTCCCTTTGTCTAACGCTCGCTAGTTGTCTCGCTGTAAAATAACATGAGAGAAAATGGTTTCAGGGCAAAAAACATCCACAGCAAAGGTATCTCTTTGTAATATTTAAATGCTTCTTGGATTTATTGTACTAAATAAAATATACTTTGTTGCTCCCCGACAAATATTTACACTTTTTTTCACAAGTGCTGTGTTTTGGGAAACGAGAGCATGTTATAGATCCACGTAGCTGCGGTGACATTAATTAAAGTGCAACCGGCAGAAATAACATCTTCCCGCGAGGATTAGAACAACACCATGTTGGTGCTGAGGGGAATACAGATGGTTGTAAACTAAGAATATAATGTCAGGTAGTTTCACAGCTCAGAAGGAGAAAAAAAACACACGGATAGACATAAATGTTTTAAACAGATTTAACTTGGTAATATTTAAATTAGAAGCTGAATTTTTCACTGTGACTGCTTCTAAATTCAGATAACGGTTGAGAAATGTTTCTGCTTGTATCGAAATGACGTTGAGTGGTGTCATTGGAGCTGTTTGAAAACTCTCTGTTTTTGAATTAAATAACAACACTAAATTGAATCAGGCCTGTGGGATGTTTGAAATACTGTAATTAAGTTGTTTTCATGGCACAACAGACCTTTTTTTGTTTGTTCCTTTGTTACGGGTTATCATTAGTTCGACCTTCTTTTGAACAAATATTGCAATTATGGGATTGAAGTTTAGTCTCTACTTCATCTATTTGTGACATGAACCGTATGTAATGACAGTAATTTGAAAGGATAGTCTGCATTGTCAAGACTAGATCCCATAAAACAATATTGATAAATTAGCTGTTAGTGGCCCTCCAGAACTGCATTATGTAAGTGAAAGTGTGATTGGGGAGAAACTCCTGCTTTGGTGATTACCATCAAAATGAGATGTTTATCATTCTAAGACTCATTTATAAATGTCCTCTACGCGTACAGATCACAGACAATCCACATTTTCAATGCATGTTGCACAGATTACCCCCCCACTGATGGTCAATTGAATATGGTAACAGATGAAACACTTTCAGCTTCATTCACAAAGGAAATGTTGTTATAATTATGATTATTTTACCCAAACTTTGATCAAGTACGTGTTCAGCTTTATAAATGCTGTGTTTTGCTGTGAGAGAGGGGGGGTCCTGTGCCGCTTGGGACTTTCACCCCCAACTAGTCGTAATTAGTCAAACGTTTTCGAGGATTCGATCAACACTCACCGATCGATGCATAACACAGTAACAATTCCCACTGTGGTGAACTGGTTGCTGACATCCACCACCACCACCGCTTTACACATAAAGTTTCCGAAGACCCACTGCCTGTCTCTGACCAGCTGGTGAATGTTGAAGGGCATCACGAGCAAGAACAGCATGTCGGCTATGGCCAAGTTCAGCACGTAGATGTCTGACACCATTTTCTTCTTGCACGCTTTCACCGCGTAGATGACCAGTCCGTTGGCTATGACCCCCACCGCGCACAGGATGCCGTAAATCGAAGGCAATATGTGCATGAAAGTGGTTAGGTCGATGGGGCTGTAAGACGAAGGGGTCGAATTTAGACATGACACGTCAGACGAGTTCTCTGTTTGGTATTTCTGGCAAAAAACGGCCGTGTCATTCATCTTAAGATCCTCTTAAACAACCGCCTCGGTCTCACGGCTGTGGTCGACGTGCGCACTTTGCGCTCTCCGGCAGGCGTCCGGTCTCCAAACTCTCCAAACGCAGCCAAACTCGCGCACTCTCCAAAAGTATGCGTGTCCTCTCCTCGAGTTCGTCCGTGGATTTCCCCCCAGCCACCCCCGACTGAGATGCTATGATTTCAAACAGGGAGATGTCAGATCTAATGACGGCTGCTTGCATGAGCGCTGATGCTCACTGGAACATGTTATCTCTGGTGCCAGACCATTTAGCGCGCGCCCGCCCGCGATGTGCGCTTTACCACACGCGGAGTGCGCCTGGGGGGACAGTAGTTCCCTCCCTGCCAACACACAGCGCGGCGTCATGTCGAAACAAGCAAATGAAAACAAGATCCTCTGAAGCCCGGAAATATTGGCCAACTTTTCGCTTTGATTCGACGTTTAAATAAAGCACGAGAGGGAACTCAGCATTATGCACTTTAAAGAAGTTTCTCTGGTCCCTTAAGTTTACTCTCTGCTACACCGTTATTAAGGCAACAGCTTGCATGTTTAAACCTTCAATAACATTTACTGTATTTGGATATTGACATGACACATCGACCTTTTATGGCATTTGAATGGAAAACCAATAAACTAATATCTCTACCGTGAATAAAAGTATACCTCTAGTCACACTAGATTGGACAAAATGTGTTAAGATTAAAAACAGGATGGTGTTCATCAACGCCGGCCAATTTAATTCCCTTCTGTCAATTTGCCATACCTGTCCTCAGGTTTCAGGTTTCCACGCTCTCTATTTCCTTATGATGAACAGATGAAGTTCAATATTATACTCATTTTAACACTCCTAAAACAATAGCAGACCTGCCTCAATGGGCACAAGAGAAACACTCCCTAAACGTAATTCACTCTACTTATTCATGTTCTATTATTTTGATCTCCGCAATTCAGATCTGACGTTTAACTTTGCCAGAGATACACAGATGGTCATCGAGTGTGTTAGTGGAGACTGAATGGAAAGTCAAACAAGGTGGCGCAACGTCAGCAAGGCTAAAACAGTCATTCTAAATGTTTTGGACTTTCCATCACAGATTCAAGGACAGGCGATGATGGGGAGGATCTTAGGCGATGCTTCAGGTCCCCATGATGCAGGTCATCTGCTTTGCAGAGCGTTCCAGTGTTCTTGAGAAAAAGCTTAACATCCAAGGTTAATCCAATTTTTTGGAATGTAGGCAATTTGTGCGGCGCGGTATTTTCAGCTTTGTACATCTCCTGAAGGATGAAAGTGTGAAGTGGTCTGAATATCTGATGGAGGAAGGGGCTCTAGATTGGACAGGTATGCTGATTTACTTTTTTCATCTAGCGCCAATCAACATTTAAAATTGTCCAATGCTTTATTTGAAAGCAAAACACTCGACTAGATCACGGCTCTTTGCTGTCCTCGCTTCGAAATGGTGGAACGAGCTCCCTGATGACAGCAGGACCGCAGAGAGACTTCACATCTTCACATTGCACTTGTAATGGCTTATTTGCAAGTTGCAAAATGGCTTAGTTGAAGAAATTTCACTTTCTTGTTTCTTGTTCGTCTGGGTTTGTATCCTCATGGTTGAAATGCACCTATTGAAAGCCGCTTTGGATAAAAGCGTCAGCTAAAATGACATGTAATGTATTATATGTGACCAAATACCTCCATAATGGCTCCTATCAGTGTTGAGTGACTTTGTGTTTTGTGACAAGAGCACATTTCTTCATGTTGGTATTTACCTCAAAGCACTGTTGTTTAGCACAACTAAAAGAAGCCATCTTGTTATCACTGTGATGTTAACACATGTCACAAACGTTGCTGGTGGTGCCAACACGAAAGTATTGTGAGCTTTAAATGGTGCTCCTGTGTAAAGAGAGACGGCTGGATGGATCAATTAAGGAGAGGTTTAACATTTCTCCCAAGCAGCGGTTGACTGCGTTGGCGATGAGAGACAGCCCAGAAAGTGGAGTGTTTTCTCAGTAAAATAAAGCAATGATGCTGGAGAAATAATGATGCAAAAGGGAATAAGAGGGCTGCCAAAGTCATGAAATGTTTGATTACATTAACAGCTGATTATACCATCTCCACTGTGCATCACATTCATTCATCACAGTTGGATTCACACAAATCAAAAGCTCATATCCTTGATACCCAGCTGTCTGGGAGATGTGTCATAATTACACCAGGAGATATTTAGGCTATGAAGACTCAAAACCTATTCTATGCAATTTTAATAAGAAGCTTAAAAGGTCCCCTTTATTTCTACTAACATAATAATGATATAGAATTGCTGTGTCAAAGTGCCTCGCGGAGCCAATAACGACATTAGGAGCAATCTCTTTTATCACTGGGATGGACGTCCAATAGGTTCCGCTAATATTTCTCGACACAAATGATTTCATTATTCATATTTGTTAATTGAACACTTTTCTGTTCTTAAAAGCTATACAAGTTATTTCTAAGACGGCGCTCATACGTCACACATCGCCTCTCTGTGTCTCTTCAGAAACTTTTCCCACTTGTTTCGAAACGGTGTATCACCTGTTCAGTGGATGCCCTCATACTTTTTCACCAGACCTCCTAATTCACCTGCTCACCTTTTTTCCCCTCTGTCACTCACAACAAATAGCAGCCGAAATCCTTTTTTTATTTCAACTTAGTGGCCTTGTGCATTGTGCTCCTCGATCTGAATGTGCCTTTCAACCAAAACCTTTCCACACCTACTAACACCTGCCTGTAAAACCATTTCCTTGTTGCCCGCACTTCCAATCCTGAGAAACACATTGGGTATTACACAGCTAAAGCGTGCATTAAGCATTATGTGACATAAATAACCACATGGGCCACACTAATTCTTTTTAGACAGAGAAAGCATTGCAATACGGCACTGTTGAGATTAGCATGAACTTCAGTCTTCTCCGGTCACCCAAAGCTGAAAGATTTGGCCTGTGAGTTCTTTCCATTTCTTCAGCAGCTGCTCCTCTAAGTGCTGGTGCAAGACCGGGTCAGTAGGGTCGTACCCCTCCATCTGCCTCTGTCAAGTGAGGGATAAACATGACAACTTAAATGGTTTACACTTATCGTATGCGCAATTACGCGTATATATTACACTTAAGTGTGTATTAATTGTGAATAGGTTGGTCTGGCTCTACAAGATATGCGTTAGCTATTAATTGACAGTAGAGTGCTGGACAAGTAATTGTTAAAACCTACACTATAGTAGTCCCCATTAGTTAGGTAACGTGCTCACGGCACTTGCTTGCGGTTGCTCATAAAAGCTCGACTGATCACTTGAAGCCCACCGAATGGAGCCATCGGAGGAGTAAAAACAGACTCAACAAAGGGAGCGGAAACAAAGAGAACAGTCATAAACACGAAACCATCGGCATGGAGACAGATTCTGGCATTATTCTTTGTAATAGTGACGCAATAACATTTCACTGCACTTTGATAACAATTTACACAGCTTTCAGAGTAAAATCCCTGTTACTGAAACACCTAAACTTTTAAAATACATCTCACGGTCTTCATTGTTTGTTTTCATATGTATTATATATGATATATAAATATATGAATATATATCATTTTCTGTAGGGATCTCTTAATGTAAAGTAATAAGGTGCAGACCGAACGAAGATTTTTTTAGCGGACAGAAACAATGTACCCGTTATGGCTTGATTTTGTGCATTAGATTTTAGGACCTCTTGTCAAGGATGCGGGTGGGAGGCAGGACTCAAACGCAGACTTTGCGGGAAACAAAAGGACTTTAATAGTCCAAAGGCCAAAAAACACAGGATCCAAGGGAAGAACAGCTGGCAGGAAACTAAGCACATCCACAACAAGAGACAATGACGCGACAAGTGACACAAGAGACACACGGCTTAAATACACAAGGGAGGTGCAGGTGATTGGACACAGGTGGAAACTATTAGACGATCACAGGGGATGACAGGAGAAGGCAGGAAGTGAAGTTACCCGGGGACACGAGTGGCAGAAAACTACAAAATACAACAGGAAGTGAACCACACCGTGACACCTCTCCCATCATTCAACGGCTGCATGAAGTCTAACGTTTTCATTTCCATGTATGAATTGAAAATATCTGGATCTTCAGGCCATCTAATTCCTCCTTTCATCCCTCCAGCCATTCTTGCCTCTCAGCCTTAAGGAGTTCATGACGCAAAATATATAATTTGCCACTGAGTTCCAAACATCTCTTTCAGAATGAAATGGTAGCTTGGCCATTTACCTTAGACAGCCAAAGTGAAGCTGAAGTAGACGGCTTGGGCTTTCAACGTCTTGTTTTTCCGGAGCCAGAGATGTCCATATTTGGAAGGGAATGTAGAACTGTGTCGGGCTAGACATTCGACCCCTGAGTGTCTTTTCAGCAAAATTAACTAACAAACCATGTGTGGCGTACCTGCTAATTAATGCTGCAACATTATCTAACTAAAATAACACTATAAGCAAAGACTTGCCCAAACAATGAAAAAACAATATTGTTATAAGAAATAGTGAAAGGCACAAGTGCAGTTAAATAAGCGTTTTTTCTTACTTTGGTTTTTGCATGTATATAAAAAAAAGTAGAATATGTTTATTTGTGACTTACAAAGTTGTTGGTTGCAGATTTTGCCACCTTTTGTTAAGAACCACACTAGCCATTTCCTCCTTTCCGGTGTTTATGCTAAACTAATCTAACCATCTGCTGGCTCATCTATATGTAGTTAATGTGCAAACGCAAAAGTTGTACTGATCTATTGATCTAAATATGAGCCAAAGACTCACTATGTTTATTTCCCTAAATGTCAAACTAATCCTTTAAACAACTAAATCCAATTTCCCTCCGAGACCAAAAAGGTGCTACCTGCTCTGCCTAGTGAGTAATCCAGCATCAATTCAATGAGGCGTAAATGTCAGAAAAGTGGAAAAAGACTATTTGAAAATGTCAGAATGGAGAATATGCTTTTCATCCAGTGACGGCACTGCATGTGGCATCAGAACATGCTTCTCTTCTTTAATCTTCCCTTTCAGTCCTGTTGAGCTCTCATTGTAGTTAATAGTACACATAATTGCTTGTGACATAATGTTCTTTGACAGGATTAAGGAGTTTGCGCTCACTTCCTCATTACTTTCCTTAGAGAGAGAACAGCTGAGGCAGAGAGGGAAAGGGCAGCTTCAAGCTGCTTCACACACTGCAGTGTGTGTGTGTGTGTGTGTGTGTGTGTGTGTGCCACTTCAATGGGGGTAGCTTTTTATTAGAAGTGTTTTTATGGTATAAGGTGAGGGCGG